TCTAGTCTAATAGTTGTTTTTTCTATTAGTTGCAATGCGAACAGGCTTTTACTTATGAGATTAATTGAGTAGGCTTGCGTTAGTTGTCTGCTACAAGATAGCCAGTTTTGGGGAAGCGTATCGAACGCCCGTCTATTCCCGCATTTGGGAACTTCTGAATACAATTTGTCTGGAATAGAGATAAATTACAATAATACAAAGCGGCATTCCCCCTTGACAGGATCTTTCATTTCATTTTGGAATTCTCTTTCGCATTCTAGGCTTTGATACTGCTTCTTTCGTTCTTATGGTTAGGTTCAAACGGGAGATACGAGAATCTGTTTGGTTTCGGACGGAGAGTTGCTTCAACATTAGGTGTAGAGAGAGTTTTGCATAAGATAATAATCTTCCGCGTGCTATTACGGGCTTTTTTTATATGTTGTAGGGGTAGTCCTGAAAACCCCGTACCTAGTGGTATGATTTCATACATCTTCTTTTGTTATTGTAAGTTCCGGGAAGTCCTGTATCTATACAGGCTATTATTTCGATTTATCGATTTTCCTAGGCCTACCATTATCCCACATTCCTTGTCCACTTTTCATGCATTTAGGACTCTTTATAAAGAAGAAGAAAGCTCCAACCTCCGTGCACCCAGAGAATAAGCAACTCGCTAGAAGGAAGAGTCTTGACGTAAGGAATAGAAGGAAGGTTCTTTGCGAGAGTAGTTTATCTCGGGAGTGAGGAAGATAAGATGAGTCTCTAACAACGGAGGCCAAAGTGTCCTCTCAAATTCAAGTGCGGCATTCATCTGACCATGTACTAAAGAAGGTTGTTCTTGGTCTTTTTTTCGTAGGCTTATTTTATGTAAGCGGAAGTCCTGTTAAAGCGCACCTCTGGAGGCATTTAAGTTAAGGCTCAGTCAAAACTCTCGCTAAAAAGGCGTAAGAAGGCTTTCCATTCGAAGGAATCTCCCGTCCTTCCTTTAGAAGACGATAGCGATTCCCTTTCAGTCTTTTTTAGTAAATTCTTCCTTATCTAATAGCTTCGTTCGTTCCTTCAAAGGAATGGTCGGAACTCTGATCCCGATTAGATAGTTTCCATTCTTATCCTCTTTCTATTTTGGCTTGGGGCACTGTTAGGCGCATCTTTCTGAGTGACTAAGGAAGTCGGGGATGAACGAGACAGAGTTTTTTCCAAATATGAGTCAAAATACCTGTGAGCGCCGCAGCAGCCCGAATATAGACCGAATTCGGGTCCTCAACTCTTGAGTATATTGACCACGGAACGGAAACGATGTTACTCCAACATCTAACTCCCCGCGTGTAGGATAAATCACAGGGGAAGGCCAGAAGTAAACAAAGAGCGGTAGAATACATTTATGCGCCCATTCTTTCATAGTTAGAAAAGAGACGTGCAAGCCGAACACTTTTACTGGTGTCGGTGGGCACGCCTCTGATAAGGGCTCGATCCCATAGAGTGAAAAAAAATCCCCATCGAACCTATAGAATGGAGACCAGATCTTCTTCCTTTTAAGATAAGGATTTCTTTTTTCCCTTATCTTACGATGCCTGTGCTGTAATATATGCCTTATGAGGCTGAGTTCCCTTCTGGGGTTTGTGTTTGAGTGGAAGGAAGGAAGGAAGCTATTAGAAAAGATTATGGCTCTCCATAATGAAGTCTCAGATGAACGGATTCGCCCGTGCTAAGGTGCATCACCACTTGCCAATAAGTCTCACGCTGACTCTCTAAGATAGACAGCTATCATGGGGGCACGAAAGATAATAGCATCCCTTGGAGTGTAGGGCCTGACCTAGCATAGAGGTGTACTTTGGTACAAAAAATTGACCAGAGTGCGGACCATAGTCTATATTTGACCCATTCCTTGCTTTCTAACGGATCCGATGCTGCAAGGAAGATCAAATAGTTGCCAACGAGTCTTGGCGAGAGAGATTACTCGTAAACTCGCTTCCCCTCCTTTCTACTACTCCACTCGCTCCCTCGCTTTTGTTCAATTATAAAGAAAGAATCACTTTAATGGAGATTTATAGCATCATTCAAGTAAATACAAATTAAGATTGTAGAAACATGAGCTTGTAATATAGCTACACCTAATTCCAGACCGGTTAATGCAAGAACTATAAATAAAGGACCAAGATCTCCTATGAAATATAAAAGATCATGCATACATAGCATAGTCCAAGCGAACCCACTTAAAATCTTTACTGAACTATGCCCGGCCATCATATTAGCAAATAAACGTATTCCTGAGCTTAATGCGCGAAAACAATGAGAGATTAGCTCAAGGAGTACTAAAAAGGGCGCTAACGGCAGTGGGACTCCTGCGGGTAATAAAAAGCTTAAAAAATGAAGCCCATTTTTTTGAAATCCCACTATAGTAATGCCAATAAAAATGGAAAATGAGAGACCCAAAGTAATGAGAAAATGACTTGTAACTGTGAAACTATAAGGTATCATACCCTGGAGATTACGAAATAACAAAAAAGTAAAAGTGACCGAGATGCGAGGGGAAAACTTTTGTTTAACATTTCCGGAAAGACCACCTATTTGTTCGTTTACCGGGTTCAGCACGAAATCATAAATAAGCTCTACCAAGGATTGCCAAACATTTGGTACTGAGGTTCCTCCTCCCTTTTTAGTAACAAAATAAAACAAAAGTAGGACAAAACTAAGGGTAAGTAGCATAAACAAAGATGGATTTGTGAATGAGAAATACAAGTTTCCTAGTTTCATAGGAATCAATGGGAGAATGGTAAATTGCTCAAGGGGGCTGCTTATTGTCTCCCCTAGACCCAGGGCAAACCTATAGGCTTCACCTGTTATTCCGTTTGTGTTCAAATCATTTAACATGTGCTCCAAAAAAGGGATATTGGCGCTTTCCCCAGTTAAAGTTTCGGTTGCAACGTTAACGGCGTCGTTTAAAGTTTCGGTTTCAACTTTAACGGCGTCGTTGGTCTGCCCGCTAGTCATCAACTCTCTCAATTTTTCATGTATTTCTGTGTTCAGTTCCACTATCCGTTCAGTCTTAGGAAAAAGACCAGGATGGTCATTAGAAATACTTTGGACAGCATCTTGACTTAGAGTGTCGGACGATTGAAGACTATAATCGGTTATAGTCGTAGTTGTTGCGCTGTCAGTTGTAGTGGATGTGGTCGTAGTTGTTGCGCTGTCAGTTGTCGTAGAGTGACTGTTTAAACTCGTCTCATCAAACTGAAAGATGCGTCGCATTATTGGTTGAGATAAAGAAATTCCCTCCAGACAGACAGAAAGCCTGTAAGAGTAGTCAATAAAGATAGAAAGCTTTTCTTGGTTGTTGACCAGGGGAAAAGAAAGAAAGATGCACACTATCCTCCGTAACTCAACCCAACCTGTCCTCCACAAACATGACGTTTGCCCCGGTAAGCGAGCCACACTACGATCATCGTCGTCGTTCTAAAAGCAGATCATAGTTCTGGACTGCTCTTATAACGCGCCGATACGGCACGCTTGCGCGGGTTCCGTGCTCTCGAATCTGAGTGACGTACGATTCATAGGTACGTGCACTCAAAAGCTCTCCTCGCGGAGCATGGATGAAGCCCCGTAGCTCCCTGGAGCTGTCGGAAATGGACGCGGGCGTAAACCCATCATCCACTAAAGCAGCTTCCACATATCGTTCCACTATGACTTGAGCGTCGATAATGGATACCATACGTCGCAGGTCGAGATCCCCCCCCCAATTGAGAAGCAAGTACCGACGATAAAGGACGTTACTTCTCATTTCATCCGAGAGAAGAGGTTGGGCTAATTCCGCTATAATGGGGCGAGGCACCGGCGGCGCCACGGGTTGAGGAAGAGGCTCCTCCGGCAATGGGATCGGACTAGGGGGCAGCCGGAAAGAATTCTCCTCCTCGCAAGAAACTACAGGTATCAAAGTTGCAGAAAAGAGGAATGTTCCCGCTAAGGCAATAACGAAAGAGATATAATAGAAAGGACCATAGCAATCCCAATAGTTACGTTTTGTCCATAACGAAATCGATAACGAAAGAAGTAATGAAAGAAGTATAGATCGTACATCGGGATGTACGTTGCTGATTTTTAGTTCTATCAGTTCCGCAACCATAAAAAAAAAAGAAAAGATACGAGAACAGCCGAAATGGAAAAATGTAGCAATCATGATTTTTTTTTATTCCCAATCCAAAGCACCCCTTTTCCATTCATAGAGAGATCCAATCGTCAAAATCAATAAAAAGGCCATCATGGACCAAGATCCAAACGGATCAATCTTGTTGAGAGGTACTGCCCAAGGAAAGGAAAAGGTTACTTCCGGATCAGGAATAATAAATAAAATTGAAACAAGATAAAATCGTATATCAAAACGACTTCTGGCATCACCGAAAGGATCGAAACCACATTCATAGGCCGACAATTTTTCTGGGTAGGTCGAACTATTGGAAGCAAATGGAAAAGGAACACCGAGTGGGATCAAAGAAACTAGCGGACTGATCACTAAATAGATAGAAATAGGTGAAAATTCTGACATCTCGAGTTGAGAATTATCGTCACGCTTTTTGATTTCACAATTTTCTTACTTCACTTCAATTGAAGTGGTTTTCGCTTTTCCTCCATCCTTTGATCTTGGACATCTCACTTGGAATGATCTTCTATCTACGATACTGAACACAATAAAATCTCGACTTTGAAAAGTAGAAGCCTTAACGGCCGTTTTCTTGGAAGTCATTCATAGGCCCTTTCCATTAGCTATACTTCACACACTATATAAAGAAATAGTTGAAGTCTGCGATACAAAGCATCAACTTACTATAAGATTATTATATACCATAATAGACCCTATTTTTTTATAGAATCACTTGAACTTGAATGAAGCGGATATGAAGAACTAGTCTTGGCGAGAGGGATTAACCTGATTGACCTAAGGCAAAGAAGAAGTAGATGCGCATAAATCAATTCCAATAGCTTCACTTCGTTCGTTCACTCCTGACCTGACAGAAGCTATGAAACCATCC